ATCACCGTCGGGAATTTTCCTCTTCCTGAGCGGGGTGGCCTTGATTGGGTACTTGTGACTGATGTTGCGGATTTCAGAAGACACAAAACGATCGGATAGGATAGAGTCAAAATTATCCCTGTTTGCAAACGCCAGGTTATCCACCAAACTCGCCGCCTCGGTAATCGCACAATTGGAACAAGCACAGGGGCTCATTCCAGCCTCGAGCTCGCGTGCCCGCTCTTGGATGTAACCTGGGTCGTCCACTGAAAGTGGGATGTATCCTAGTCTAGCAAACGCCCCCACATAATTCCTTGTTAGTCATGACATCTACAGTACGGTGCCACAGTTAAAAACAAACGTACAAGTTGTCAAGGGAAAACGCAATGCGCAGGCACACCGGCGTTATGGCCAAAGCATCCATCCGATCGGGATCCGACTGGTAAGGAGGAGTACTAGCCGCCAGGGGGAACTGATCGATCGAGTTTTTCCCATTCCGACGACTCCTTTCCACAAGCAAGATAGCCAGTCCGGGTCGTCCGTCTCGGCCACATCTGCCAATCATCTGAGATATTGAAGCCGGATCACCCCTCCCCATGTGAACCACCATCCTAACCCTCTTCCAGTTTTGACCCAGACCCAGGGCCATGGTACAAGAAATCAGAGGGAAATCCCCCGCAGCGAAATGGTTCACACAATCAACCTTATCCTGTTCGCCTGTACAGGAGTGAAATCGACAAATACAGGTGCTCGGAGGGTCAAAAGCGGCGCCGGGGGTTTCTCTCGCCAAATCAATCACATCCATTGCCGTCATCGTCCGATTGCGCGAGCTGCTATAGATCAGTGTTGGGACCAAATCCGCGTCGGAAACATCCTTCGCCGAGGGGAACAACTTCACCAGATCGAGTGTCGAAGCAAGGGAATGGTCCATCGTGACCCGAATAATGCGAATTTCGGGACGGGTGAGCTCACCCCGCAAAATGTCAAGAGTGTCTTCATTCAGCTTGAGACTCTTCATGATGCCGTCCACTGCCACCGGTCGGCAAGTTGCCGAGAGTAACAAGATTGGCTTGTTGTTGCGGAACAGTAGGTGGGGCCCCAGCTTCCCGTAACATGGCCTGAACAACGCATAATCCTCAATACGCAGGTGAACCGAAGTGATCGTTTTCGATGTCGAGCTCTCCACAAGGCCCCAGATGTAGACCATATGGGCCTCATCAATGACAATCAACGCGAGTCGGTTCTAAAACTTTGTGCTGAAGTACACCTCATCAAACGCCTTGCTGTTCAGGAAAATCTCGGGGCTTAGGTAAATAAAATTGTAGTTGCCATTCGAGATTGCATCAGCCGTCTGCTTGTTGAAGTTCATTTGAGTCAAGTTGATTGCCGTGAAACCGGCCTTCTCTTTCTCCAGTACTTGGTTATCCCCCAAAGAGTCAAGAGGGTTTAAAACTAGCACCACCGCCCGTGTCGACTTTGGGATCATTTTGAAGTACAACTCCGATATCCGCGACTTCCCAAAGCCAGTACCCGCCAAGAGAAACGTGTTGCGGCCTCGGGCCAGATTGAAGACGGTTTCGACCTGCAATGGTTTGGCCTCCTGCTTGTAAGTATCCATCGAGGCCTGCTTGATGAACTCCTTGAGCTTATCATCGGTCTTTTCATAGATTTTCTTGTACAGATTGACCCCCGTTGGCGTGCGTACCCGCTTGGAAATGGCTAACTGGTGCATTATGAGGATCGGTTCGGTTGAAAGTGTTCAAGCGTTGAGATTTTAAGACTGGGAATATGTGCTGGATGAAGGTGGATCTTGCACTTGTCGTCTTCTCCAATTCTCTGCTCCTTCAGATCAATACCTCAATCGAACTCATACATTATCGCATACAACGGTCATAAGGCACACCATTGTGGCATTTACAACAACTGTACCGACTCAACTAGACACTTCATGAGCCATCTGTACAAGACATACTATGTCTTGTACCACTTTTTATGGGATAAGCTGAATTTCAGCTTGATTCGCAGTCCTCACTTTCCATCCAAAGGATGGATAAGTGTTAGCAACCAAAATTACAAAAAAAAATATAGGATGATAGGTCATATGGTCACGTATGTGACAAAGTTAGCCGCATCATTTTTGGTTGGATGAGCCAAGAGTAATGGACAGGATAGGGGGAATTACCTATGAAAAGCCACAAACTGTACCAGCTTCCAGGCTGAAATTTGGTCTTCGCTCATAAGCCCCTCTTTCAGAGGCTCGCTTCGCGAGTTGCCTCCGGCCCTCTGTCGAGGGGATTTGTTAAGCTAGGGTTTGAACCCATGACCTCCAGGTGGTGCCACCAGTAACTCCACAGAGGCTGTACTTTCACCACGGGCATTTGCATGTCGCTGCGGCCCGCAGCGTCACCTTGACGCTGCACGCGAGTTTGAATTTGAATTCATCGTCATCTGCAGCGACATCATTTGACAACAGGACCTACCCAGAAACATTTGATCTACAGCTGGGACACTTTCAATCGGCCGATCTGTTCTCAATCATCCCTAAGATATCAAACCCCCTACCCATTGGAATAATCCATCCAAGTCTGGGAGGCCAACCTATCCGAAACCCATCCAAACCTGTCAGTAATGTATCCTCAATTTTATCTCATCATAAAGATACCTATAAGCATACTTATCCCATCTGGTCCAACCAGTTCATCTCCAATCGACCGTACAACGTTTATCACCCATTTCTTCCGTCGATCGATTGGATTCAAGACCCCCACACCAACATCCGATCCTCATGCTCTGAAACCCAGACCAGAGCACAACTCGTATCCAAGAATTTATGGCCAAACTGATCAGACGACCCGTTCACTCTATGACCTCTCCGATTCCGCCTTCGCCAACCTGTGCTCGATCAAGAACTTCATCAAACATATCACCCTCATCAGTCCTTATGCTCTGGTCTGGCCGTCCTAGTAGATTGGATCCGGACCGAAATCATGGACTGTTTCGAGCACGAATCTGCACTCCACTCAGGATTACTGTCCATCAGTATGATGGTCGAGCCACTCTTCGAGCTCCTCGGAGCACTCGCCAACCTCGTCCAAAGCTGTCAAGAAGACCAAGGAACCAGACAACACGAAGATGTAGTCTATCAACATCTAGACCTCCGCATTCACCAATGCTCCTCAAACTTGATCCAGGCTGTCTTCAGTTGTCTGCTAAACAGGGTTTGTGCGGCCCTCCTACTCTGTTGGCAGACTTGGCTGGGCATTGATCTGGGCGGCCAACACACATTATGGCCTGACGAAAAGGACCAGTTGTACCAATCCCTCTGGAAGATTTACAGCATTCAATCAGATCCTCGGCCACCAATAGATCCTCATCTTGAACTGACTGGCGACGATTTGGATGAAAATAATACCAGGACACCCTCATCTTATTGCATTTTGAGTAAACTCCATTCTCTATCCCATCCCAGCTCGTGCTGAGATTTTCCCTCATCAGGTATCATTTGGCAACTAATACAGTTTGATTTGGCTCTCTTCTTATTCTTCTTTCTAACTCCACTCAATTCCATCCTGATCGTGTCTCAAGCTTTATTCCGATCTCTCTGGCCGAGTCGATTTTCAAGGCGGGCATATTGTTGAGAATCTTGCGACGAGCCAATCCCTTTCATCCGATCTTTCTCTCCTATCCCGTCGAAGAGCATGGTCAATCGCGGTGGGTGTGGACCCCACAGGATCTGGAAAAGTACTTTGTCTCATGGCTCTTCCATTAAGAAAGCTTTGCGGAATCTTATGTACTATACACAGAGTCCATCAGGCAGCCAGCACACAGAGGCACGACATGAAGCTCCAAATATCTGCCTGGAGACATGGCACCAAGCGTTCAGATGATCCATCGATGGCGATCCAAAGAGCCAAGCAAGCATCATCCACCAGGATGCAGGATATTGAACAAGGGCATGAGATCGAAGATTTCGTCAAGGCCATTAGCACCGGCTTGAAGCCTCATGACACTCAAGTGAGAGGATCAAGACACATTGATGAGCGTCAGAGAGGCTTGATCGAGAGCCTTGAAGAGCGTCTGAGAGGTTGCAAGATCGAGAGGTCTGGGGTGCTCCAACCCATGGAAAGCCCCTCGGTAGATATCCTGACTGAGGTCACAGTGCTGGAGTCACTCCGATGTCGGGCACTGGAGATCGACCGATCGCTGCTCTCATTCTTTCTGGTCGATCTCGAGTTTCTCGACCATCTCAAGATCCTCAACCAGTTCCTGTTTGTGACACAATGTTCAATGAGCGGTTGACCACCCAGGTGTCGCAACAGTCAGTCAACTGTCGCTGCGTAGTCAACTGCTCACATGTCGTGCGAGTTTTGATTCTGACTGAATTCGTCAGATGACGCTGTGGGCCGCAGCGACACGCAAATGTCCGTGGTGTTTGCCACTCGACTATACTAGATTCTTGATATTCCACTGGTCAGAGAGTCAACTACATACCCCGCGCTGCATTTTTGGATCGTTTTTCAACCATCGACCACCTTTTGAATAATTTTTCGACAATCGACCCTTTTTTTTCCACTGCCGGACCCGGGTGAAAACCATCAATCGGACACTCTGAGAAGTGTCCGATTGATGGTTTTCTTGTTGTCCATCGGACACTCCCAATCAAGTGTCCGATGGACCCCGGGCTGTACACCATCCTCTGGATGGTCTCGCCTGCCAAGCATCCCTTGGACGCTTTCTGAAGCGCCCAAATGATGCCAGGCCCGCCCGAGCGTCCGTTGGATGCTTCGCAACCAAGTTGCGGGCGCTCGGGACGGAATCCATCCGTTTGCTGGGGGGTTTTTCTAAAAACCCGCCCCATGGTGTACATGTATGCTTGCGTTGGACAGCTGAGACTGTGCAAATTATCCATGGCATCGCTGCAGTCAGGGGTGTACTTGATCTGGATAAAATCTTTGGAAAGACATTGTCTTTCATCCCAGAACCTTTGTTCTATCCCATTGGCTACGGAACCAAGATTCAAGTCGTTGACTTTCTTCCCAGTAAAACCGCACAGAAATTCATCAAACAAATGGCCGGTAACCATACGGACTGAAGGCCTTCCTGTCTCTCAAGATTTCTCTTTCTCCAGCTTCACACAAGTTCGCTTCTTCATCAGGCATGGGTGAATTCATTTTGTCACACTCGTTCCCATCACACGAGATTGAACGCTTTCTGTCTCGCGGCATCTTCATAGTCAGTTGTATCACACATAGTGTGATCCTGCAAGGATGAAAACCCCGGCGCTAACAAAAGCGCAGCGCAGCCAAAATTGACCTCGCTACATACGCTGCGCTTTAGTAGCGGTGGATCGCCTATCGTGTATTTCCCCTTTGTTTTTTTTTTCTGTGCGCACTGGATTGGCGATTGTGTAGCGCACAATTGCCGCAAGTAGCGCGGCGAGGCGCAGCATAGCGCCTTTTTCACAGCTATGATAGCGGCTTTTCTAGCAGCAAAAAACTCTATCTTTACACCAATTCTGCTGAGTTTTGCTTTCGTGGCAATTGTTTAGAGGGAAACAACAGCTGCTTGAGGTACAGAAAAAAAAGCAGTGTAGAATGAAGTTAGATATTCTAGGGGGATCATTGATGCTTTGATATTGTCAGCTTGGGCCTGTTTTGGAAGGGGCTTGGTTAATTGACTTCCAAACCCCAAGGACCTCCTGAGGACTGTCTACAGGACATCGACCCCCCCCTATTTTTTTACCCCCAAGGGTTTGGGAGTCAATCCTCCAAACCCATCAACAGGTTTGGGAGTCAACCCCCCCCCCAAAAAAAAATAAATAAATAATAATTAATAGAAAAAACCTGTGGGTTTTTGGAAGGGGTTTGGGAGTTGGCACCAGAAATATCTCAGTGGCAAAGAGTGTTCCTCTTGGCTGGCAAGAGTTGTACAACTTGAGCTGGCCAGGAGGAATCCCTTTTAGTCACTGAGAGTAGTACAGTCTCAGCAGCCAGGAGAAATCCTCAGGGCTGTTGAGAGCATACAGTCTCAGCAGCCAAGAGGAATCCCTCTTGGTTGCTGAGAGTTGTCCACTCTTTAAGGCCAAGAGGAACACTCTTGACCATCAAGAGTTGTAGTAGTAGTACAGCCCTCAGCAACCAAGAGAAGGAATACCCTCTTGGTTTGATGGTCAAGAGTGTCCCTCTTGTCTGCTGGGAGTTGTACGCTCTTGATGGTTAAGAGTATCACTCTCCACTGTCAAGAGTGTACAACTCTCAATGGCCAGGAGGAACACTCTCAATGTCCAGGAGAAATCTCTCTTGGTTGATGAGAGTTGTTCACTCTCAGCATCCAAGAGTGTTCCTCTTGGCCATCAAGAGTTGTACAGCTCTCAGCAACCAACAGGGATTCTTCCTGGCCTCTGAGATTGGAGAAAAACTCTTATTCTCTCAACGGCTGAGAGGATTTATCCCAGTTGCTGTCAGGACGTCTCCAGAGTTTGGAAGTTGATTAGCCCAGCCCCCTTTGGACTGCATTAATTACTGCTTGACAGTTGGCAACTGCACATCCCATCAGAAAAAAACTCAGCAGCCACTGATTTATATCAATGGTTTGGATTGCTTAGCCCTAGGTAAAAAAGAAGTGGCCACTTCCAAGAAGTTTTATTTCATATTGTCCCAGTAAGCTGCCCAGGCCAGGTAGTCCTGGGCCAATGACCCCAAGACTAGAAACTCCATGCAATGCAAAATAATCAGTGTAGAATTGTAGAGAGGATATTGTGACTTGAACAAATACTGATGTTCCAACAGTGAAGAACTTTCCCTTTTTTTACATGGGGAAAATGAACTGGTTGTGATTCTCCATTTCTGTGTTCACCTTCACCAGGCCTGGTTGATATAAATATTTCTTTACATACCTGAGTTGTTTGGGTTTCCATTTGCTTGAAACTGGGAACCCAATGGGGGAGATGAAGCCAGTTGGGAAGTTTTGAGGAGGGTGTTCAGGTTCTAACAATAGGTTGCTTCAATGAATTTATTGATTTTATTCAAGTGTTCTTTGAAGTGTTTTCAAAGGACATAAAGTGCATGAATATCCATGAAGGGCAATGCAACAGTGAAACAGTATCTGCAGATAGATATGAGTTGAAACAAATGGGATTTTTTGATTGACTGGTTTGGGTGAAAAGATATGTATTTTTTTGTTCAAAACCCATTGGGGTTGATGGAGGTGGATTTTGGAAACCCGTCAATTAATAATTGTGGATTTCAAAAAATTAATTGACGGGTTTGCAAAGGTGTATTTGCTACATTTGATACCCCCTGTTGTATCTTTTTTCTAAAAATTTGTATTGTGTTGTTTATGAGAAATTTATAGGCTTAAAAGAATATATATTTCAGTAAAATGAAAATGAAAAAGAATAAAAAATGAGATAAGAGAAAAAGAAAAGAGTAGTACCTTAAAAGAACAGGAAGTTAGATGAACTACCAACACAGTAAGTACACGATTGACTCTTAAAGAGTATCTTATCAAATAATTCAGGATAAAAAGCTAAGAACATAAAGTTAGAGCGGTCAACAACTAATGAATGATAATAATAAGAAATAATAATAAAAATACCTCAAAGCTATAAATCCCTAGCCGATGATCCCTCACACTCGATTGATGCTGAACTTGATGATTGATGAAGAATAGTTGAGCGATGTCGAGTTGTGATAAAGAAGATGGGATGAGGAAAGAGCCTGTTGACCGTGCCAAATTGATCATGATGTCATGATCACAACACTCCCAATCTGGAGTATTGACAGCACCTGCACCCACTGTGCACACCTAATTCCAACACCTGCACCCACTGTGCACACCCAATTCCAACAGTTTAGGGGCTCATATTTTTCTGTGCACCCACTGCAATGGCTCACTATTGAAAAGAACTGAAATGCTTCAAGCCCCTGCAACATATGTGTCCAAGTATGGTGTTTTGGAGGCTTTTCCAAACATTTGCATGTCAAAAGAAGAAGAAAAAAGATCTGCTGTGCCAGATTTTTAGTGCTTACAGCTACACAAATTAAAATTCAAAATAAAAAATCAGGCAGCTCAAACCTCACATTAGGAAATTTAACATCTGATCACTGATGTTTGTGATGAAAAAATTTTGACTTGCTGGACTTGTTGGAAAAGACAGAATCTGGATGTATTAAAATTTCATGAAAATTTTATGGTGCTCATCAGGAAAAATCTCCCAATGTGCAGTTAACTGCCCTGATAACAAAGATCAGTGTGCTTTTGGCCTCAGGCCCATGTCCAAATTTTAATTTCTTGCAGTTGAAACCCAAACCGCTGCTCCAGAGGTCGGGAGTAGCTCCGGGGGACCTCGCGAGGCGCACGGCAGTGTTCTCAGTTCTGGGGCCGGCCGCCGATTAATTCTGAGTGGGCAGTCACTGACACCAGCAGTCCCATGATCGACTCCTGTACATATGTACCATCGGGGTTTCAATCGCCGGTCCGATGCTACATACACACTTGGTTATTAAGGTTTCACCTTCCATGCGAAATATGCACGGCTCTCAAGTCTTGATGCTCAGCCTCCCTCAGGCACGCGAGTCGCGACGGAGTGATTTTTAACGCTCGTCGCTCATTTTCGTGATAAATATCGATTATCTCGTATTGTTGCGAAGGAGTGCTCCTCTTCCCTAGCCCAATGTGTGTAATATATACTCATACTGACGTTCCAGTACCACACTATGATTCTGGTCTACGGGGATGCGTAGATCAGTTGCCTAGCGTGGAGCGCGTAGACAGTCCTCATCGGTGCAGCTGGACTTGTGACTTGCGAGCTGGATGGTGGGTATATTGTACAATCTGGCCTTCAGACCACCTCATGGACGACCGCAAGGCCAAGCAGTTTGAATATAAAATGAGCCTCTTTCTCCGATTGCCAGCATCCTCATCCCACTCACCAGTTCACCTGCCCTCAGCATTTGACTTTACAGCCTCCCATCGATTTCTCAGCCTCCATAAATACTTGTAGAAGTCTTCTATTTTCACCACTCACAAAATGGTTTCGTTGGCCTACTTGATCACCCTTCTGTCCCTCCTCGTCGCCGTTTCTCACGCAGAGGAGGTCGCTGCCGGCAAGACTGAGGACGTCGACCCCAAATACTTCCGATACGGATCGAGGTACGGAGGATTCGGCGGGGGATTCTACAACAACTTCGGATCTCTGAACAGTTGGGGATGTGGCTGGGGAAGTGGCTTGATGCTCAACTCATGGAACACCCCATGGATCAACAGTGCGTTCAATTACTTTCCCAACGGCAACTGCTTTGGAGGCGGCTGGCTCCTCCGCGGACCCGGCATGTACTTTGTCAAGGCCACTGAGGAAGGTCACAGTGTTGCCCGACGAGCTCTCCCCGTTGGTGCTGAACAACTCGTCCGTCGAGAGGCCGGTGTGACTTGCATTAGCAACAAGGGTGTTTCCAGCACTTTCTCCCCTGATGAATGTATCAAGTGAGTCACTCAAGTCGGTTTTATATGGTCACCGAAATCACTCGCTGATCAAAGTTTTTCTTCTCCTCGCAGGGCCGCTCATCAGTTGGCTGAGAAGAAGACCAGCAGCACTACCCACGGAGGCTGCACCTTGACTCTTGTTACCAAGAATGACAAAGTCGCCCCAAGCCAATCGTAAGTCACCCGACTTGATCAGTTTAACAATTGTAACGCAGAAGTCTTACCGTTCCATCTGCATTTGCTCACCATAGCTCGAGCCAGATCCTCGAGAAGGCCGTCAACAGTATTTTGGGCGCTTGCGGAAAATCTCCCAATGTGAGTCCTGTTTTTCGGAAATGTTCGCTTCCTTTGATCACAGTATTGTTGAGACCCTATGTGTTTATTATCCCGTTTCCGCTAGACCCAGGGCCAGAACAAGAACGCTCGCCGCGCCGCTGCCGCTGGTCAAGAAGACGACACCCGCGTTGCCCTCCTCCTTTCCAAGCCTAACTGATATCCTTTATATTTACCCACTAGAAGCATTCAACCGTGTTCATTCTGTATCAGATCTTTATTTATCCATGTCTTTCTCTCTCGTCGTTGTATTTACTGTTATCCATATATGAATTGTAGATGCAGTCGTCTTGTTCTCAATGTATTGGGTTTCTTTCATCTCAAACTGTAGATTTGTCCTTGAATGAGATAGTGTGCGCTTGTGCCAGAGCAGCTGACCCAGCTGAGGAATGAGCATCATCGAGAGAAGGACTCGGTTTTTCCTTTTGTATTCTCAAACAGTGCTGTTCAAAATCGATGTGCTGGAAGCTCTCCATCCAATCATCAACTCCCAGATTCCTCCGGCCGATCTGCCCTCTTTTACTTTCTGTTCCCTTTTCTCGCCAGCCACCCACTCGCAATCGCCACTGAATCGACATGAGTGGTCAAATTTTTTAGGTTTTCTATGTTTCAAATGAATAGTTTTTCAGATAAATTATCGCAACTATGTACAACATATCATAATTTAACACCGGCCGGATGAGGCGGGGATCTCCGTCAAATTGACACGGGCAGCGCAAGAATCCCTACAAGCAGCCGGGACCACGGACGGCAACCGGGATGCAATCTCTTCGAACCTCGGGAGTCCGGGACCCGGGGTAACAAGTTGAATATGCATGCACGTGAGCCGCCGGGCCCCCCACCGAGTCGAAATTGAATATGCATAGAACAAGTAAGTTTGGAATTTAACCCTCTTTCATCGCACGGTGTTCCCACATTGTATTGGACAACAACTCAACATATTAATATTTCATTTCGGAATGACACAGGCTCTGAGTGCCCCATCAATCGAAGAGCTCGAGGACTTGATCTTGTCTTGTCGGTATGGCGATCTGGAAGATGTGCAGGAGTTCGTCCGTCGGTTCGGGATCGCTCCTTTAGACGATTATGTGGACGAACACGGAAATAGTTGCTTGCATATGGCAGCTGCCAACGGACATGAAGGTAAGTTTCTTCCGCGAGAATTAATGTTCTCTTAGTTTAATATGTTCTGAAACTCTTCTCGCATCGACCCAGATGTCGTTCAATACCTTTTGCAGAATCTAGAGAAGTCGAGTTCAATACACCGATCGAATCTGCCGCCGGCGAGTAACACGCCGCTTCATTGGGCGGCGATGAACCATCATCTTGGGATTTTGAAGCAACTGTGTGTCCGACTGACGACGGAGCAGATATGTCAAGTGAACGGGCGAGGGATGAGTGCGATGAGCGAGGCGATGGGCTCGATCAACAACATTCCCCCATCCACCAAACCAGATCCACCAGCGAATGGCGAGCAGGCTGAAGAAGCAGAACAGATCCCTATTCGAGAACAATGCGTTAATTATCTCGTGGAAATGATGAAGTTGGGCGACACCGACTCCGAGCCTCTCACGAAAGACCCTCCATCTGACCATCAACAGCCCATTCCCCCTACTTCTGATCAGCCTCAAGATCCCGTTGAGAAGTTGAATCTCAACATCCAGAATACTCAGTTGAATGATCCAAAGGAAACATCGCCTGTCAAAGCTTTGAGATGATAAACCATTTGTTTTTAATCCATCCTGTTTTATCTTTTTTTTTGTCACCACGCAACAAACGATACCTCATTGATTCAGATCCCCGTCGACTTATGTCTCTTATAAGCCCTTTTGATTTGTTTTTTTTACTGATCACTTCTGGGCCAGTTTCCAATCAATCTGATGACCTCCCCCCCAAAAAAAATGCGTCCGTGTGATGATGGTGTAACTTTGTAGATCATAAATTTCTCCCACTCTCCAATTTCACTTATAAATCAAGGGACTGCCTCGTTGTTATCGTTGTGTTTTTTGTTTTTTTGAGAAAAAAAAAAGAGTGAGAATGCATTCAAGAGTTATGATACAACATACGCAGAGGAAGTAACTACACTCTTCTCCCAGACCATCGGAATCGTGTTCTGTTTCTTAAAAAAGTCTCAAGCTAACCAACCAGGGATATTAATCTTGAAAAGGTCTGAATCCCCGTTTGACCACGTGGGGGAAGTGCTTTCCGCGCCATCCGTAGTCCGCAGGTTGCGCCGCGCCCGCCAGCTCGAAGTCAACAGACGATGACCTCATCGGAGAGAACAAGGGAAGAACGCAAAGAACGGTCAACAAGAACAACAACACCCAACTAATACCCTAAAAAACAACTAGCTCACCGGTCAAGAAGAAGAACAAAACGAACGCGCAGATGGAACGATTGGCGGAAGCAGAACAGGCACTGACCTTGGCAAAGTCGTGCGATATCGACCTACCAGTGACGCTCAGAATGTTGAGTATAGTGCTCATCAGTAATGCTCTTCACCTCTCTAAGAATACTTGATTGATCGAGAACCGTGTCTATGTTCTAGCTCACGAATAGAGGGAAACTATCACAGGTCTCAGACCAAGTCCTACTCGAACCTACGCACCAGTCAGCCTCAGTTAGGTCAATTCCACCTTGGCTTTCTCAGCATTTCAACCCATTCGATTGGTTTCTCCTCGATGAACGACTGAAGTCGCCTTTCTCTTGTTGGGAAAAAAAAACATCAGCTCGTCGCCCTTGCCCGATCTTTACGTCGCCGTACAGCTATGGGCTGAGAACCGACCATTGACTTTGCCCTTTTACACACCTCACAAGAACTTTTCGACCTCCTTCACGTTTGTCCAATATTTCGCACCTCAAAATAAATCCTCAATGAACCAGCGACTCATTTTGGATGATTCTTGTTCTTTTTATTTATAGATGGGCGACCCCGATCACTTTACCGATCAAGTATCGTGACTTACCTCACTCGGCCCAACTAGCATTCACAATACTCGACGTCAATCTTCCAGACGGCCTTACTCACACGTCTCATCCCCTTTCAACAACTGACGATACAACAGCTTCAATTGACCAAACCACCACGGATAATTTCTTATTATCCAATTCCACCGTCGTGGGAGGCACGACACTTGCGCTATTTGGGAAAAAGAGGACGTTAAGAAAAGGGAAACAACGCTGTTTTATCCATGTCAGTGTTTTTTCTTTTCTTTTTTGGCTCAAACCTCTTAGACTATGTGCTCAACTAGAAAATTGTTGCTTGGGTCTGTTAGCGTGACCGAATCGCAGATGGAAATGTTTCGTCGACTACGCCTAGTAAAATTGCGATTGTTTCTGAGAGTGATCCTAATTCATTGGAGGTTTATGAAGAAAGTGACAAGCTGGGTAGACTCGAAAAAGTCAGTAGGTAAAACACTCAGCCGTTTCATCTCTCTGGTTTCTCCATATCCCTTATTTCGTGAGATTATAACTGCTCCTTTCTGTCTCGTTCATTTTTTTTTTCCAGCTCGTCAAGAAACATGAGCGTGGTGATCTGCCTCGACTGGAATGGCTTGATCAACTCGCATTCCGACAGATAGAAAGAATCCATGCTGTAAGGCTCGATTTTTGATCAATTATTATTCAAAAAAATCGGAATTGAACCGTTGATTTGACAAACTAAAATCGGTCTCTGAAATCGTGAAGCAAGAAACGGCGAAAAGTCGAGACATGTACTTGTATGTCGACCTGCCTCGGTTTGATTTTCCGATCTTATTCAATGAGATCGAGCTTCCAGCCCCAAGTCTACCCTCAACATTATCGGCTGTAACGCAGCCGGCCGCTGGTAATACTTCCGCACTTTACTCCCCCCATCATCTCGCCGATATTTTCACAGTGGTCGACCCGGACATGGTACATGACAATCCCATTGAAAGTAAACACACTAGGCTTCATAGAAGTCACCGCAATGGTCCATTAGATCGCGAATTGAGACCTGAGAAGAGTGTGCGGGATGTTCTTAACGTGAGTTGGCACTCCTTGTTGAGATCTGTACAAATCATTTTGTCTGAATGTTTATTTCGACTTTCCTCGGTTGACTTCACAGAATATTTTGAGTTACCCGCCCACCAGGACACTAACACGTGACGAGAGGGACCTTGTGTGGCGCTTCCGGTTTTACTTATCTCACGACAAGCGTGCCTTGACTAAATTTCTCAAGTCGGTTGTGTGGTCGGACAAGGGAGAGGTGAGTCAAGCGATCGGAAACCTTTTACCAATTTGGTCCGAAATTAGTTTGGACGATGCGCTCGAGCTCCTAGGACCATCAGATGATTACCGAGAACCACGAATAAAACAGTTTGCGGTCCAACAACTCGCCCGAGCCGAGGATGATGAGCTGGTGCTATATTTGCTACAACTAGTCCAAGCGTTGAAATTCGACCAGTCGCCTTCAGTAAGCTTCGATCATCACAAGACCAGTCCATCGAGCACAGTCACGTCTCCGATAGCCCAATCCCAGCGTTTCTCTGTCGCCCCGTCTCAGCGAGTTAGTGTTGGTAGTAGCAGTACAGTGCTGGGAAGAGAGAACCGGTCCTCGTTCACGCCGAACGTCACAGAAACTCCTCCTAGGCGTGACTCGCAAATCAAGCCGTTGAGTCTCGAAGACTTTTTGATTGAACGAAGTTGTGCCAACCCGGCTGTGTTGGGCTATCAGTTCTATTGGTATCTTACCGTCGAGGCTAGTGCCGATGGGGATAAATCAATGCAAGTTATGTACGGCAGGGTCTTGCAAAAATTCTATGACAAAATGCGTGAAGTGAGTGGTTTGAATTTGATTCCTATCAGACAAACTGGACAAGTGGGATTCACAGCACTCTCTGGGGGCTTTTTTTTGGAAAAAATCAGACGGATAGAGGTCGGTCGATGGCTGAGACTATTCAGCGACAAAAATCATTTGTGATGTTTCTTTCAAAGTTAGCAAATGAGATCCGAACATCAAAAGACGGAAGGCCAAAGAAGATCGAAAAGCTCAAACATGTGTTGAAAGATCCGGCGAAACTGGCTCAACTATTTTCAGTCGATAGCACGAGTCAGATAGCAGGCTTACCGCTACCGTTGGATTCGAGTAAGATGATTGTGGGGGTAGATACGGACTCATCGACGGTATTCAAGTCGAATCTGTTCCCATTAAGGTTGGCGCTTCGATGTTCAGATGGGACGGAGTATCCGGTGATCTTCAAAGACGGCGATGATCTTAGACAAGACCAATTGGTCATCCAACTCATCAGCTTGATGGACCGACTCCTCAGGAAAGAAAACTTGGACCTTCGCTTGACCCCTTATAAAGTCTTGGCTACCGGTCAGACTGTGGGCCTCGTTCAGTTCATCACCTCTAAAACTTTAGGCGAAGTCGCCGCCGTTTATCAGGGCGGTATCTTGGAATACCTTAGGACTGAGAATCCAGACTCGGGTGGTAGTCTTGGTCACTATGGTGTTTTGCCTAGTGTTTTAGAAAACTTTGTTAGGAGTTGTGGTAAGGATTTGTTTTTCTTACATCAAGTTTGAGTACCCATGACTAATTCTAAAAATCAATCTATACACTTTTAATTTGATGAAATTGAACGAGGAAGCTGGATATTGTGTAGTAACGTATATCCTAGGAGTAGGCGATCGACATTTGGATAACCTAATGATCTCGCCGAGTGGGCACTTTTTTCATGTGGATTTTGGGTACATTTTAGGACGAGATCCGAAGCCGTTTCCGCCCTCGATTAAGGTCTGTAAGGAGATGGTAGACGGGATGGGAGGCGACAAGTCGAGCCATTATGGTCGCTTCAAACGGCTCTGTTATACCGCTTTTATCTGTCTTCGTAAAAATTCCGGGTTGATCATCAATCTTGTCGGGCTCATGATCGAGGCTAATATCCCTGATATCAAACTCGAACCTGATAAAGCTGTCATGAAGGTTTGTTTCACCCCTTCCTTCTTCTTCTTCCGTTTACTCACCAGTATTGAACCTTTTCCCTTTCTTCAATTCTTGCTTTACCTTGCTCCTCCGTTCTGATAGGTCCAAGAAAAATTTAGATTGGACTTGTCTGAAGAAGAAGCTATCAAACACTTTGAAAACGAGCTCAATGATACTTCTTATTTCACTGTTGTCTTTGACAAGTTGAGTCCTTTGCTTTTCTTCCTTCCTTACTATTTTTTTAGTTTGTTGCACTTTTTTTTTTTGTCTTGACTTTGTTTATTTCACAAACTTACATGTTTATCCTTCTTTTTGGCAGGATCCATGCTGTGGCCCAGTACTGGAGAGCCTAACAAAAAAAAAGAAACTTTTTGTATTTGTATTGTGTATTTGTTCATCATGTTTATTGGCGGTTTGGACTTGATATGATTTTGTAACAGGCACAAAAAAAAAACGTTGAGTCAAAATTTAGGGCTAGAACTTGCAGGTTACCCAAGCGTTTTGTGCCATCCCAATTCCTGCCGGGCGAGCATGCTTGATGATCAAGTATCAATTTTAGCACACCCGGACCATGATGGAGAGTATCAAGCACATCCCGGGTGTACCTGGCTTGAGTGATCAGGATGCTCAGAGTTGTTATTTGGTGATGGAAACCAGAGAACCAGAGGAAACCAGTCACAATATCAAGGTTGCACCGGCTGCGGGTGCAACCTTGATTGTTAACTAAGTATCTTTAATCCTTTCCTTTTTATCACAACAGTAAAAAGATGTGTAGACTGTGGCAGGAAACGGTCAAGACAATCAGAGCAGGGATCTGATATTAGGAAGGGCAATGGTCAGTTACATGACAATATTATGCCTCCTTCAGGGCTTTTCATTCACTTGGTGATGTATCAATGTTGACTTAACCCAAGTAAATTTGTTTCAATTACCTGGAACTGCCTAGTCCCTAGTCAAGTGAGGGCAATGGGTATTAGGTGCAAGTAGGAAATAGGAGGACCCAGGAAACCGCCTAAAAATGTCAGTAACGTAAATTCTGTTGAGGTCTAAGCTTTGGCTCTCACATTCTGTAGAAGCTCTAGACCATCTAAGTACCCAAGATCAAAATATTAATGACATCATACGGCCTGAACTCTGGATTTCATCAAAGCTCATACAAAGATGTCATTACACTCGCACCCTCTCAAACTCTTTCGTCATTGCTATTGTGCACTCTCTTTTTCCTTTATCATTCCTCCTCCGCGGTCGAATCATTCTTTCTCCTTAGGACTCCTTCTGAATTCTTTCCTCCACAGTCAATATTCTTAATTGACCGTGTCATTCTTATCCTGAATCATCAACTGTCTTATTCTCTTAAAAAGATGAACATTACATCTCAACTCCCATCATCAATCATCGCTTCTGATCCAACTTCCTCCTAACCTTTTCATCCATCTCTTTTGATCTCCGTATCAAACCAATCCCTTCCATTCGACAACTCCGCCAACCACTACTTTTCTCCTACTATCCTCAATCATCGTAGGTACTTGTTGATCCTTTTCTCATCAAGGATCTTGATGTTGATCCACTTTCTTTTGTTAGCTTTCTCTTCTATCTTTCTATCATTATTGTGTCTAGTTATATTGTTGTCCCATTTATTTTGCCATCTACTGCTTTTAGGTGATTATTCTCTTTCTTTCTTTTCTTCTTCTCATTTTGTATTTCTTAGCTGGCACTCATGAAATACAAACCTTTTAGTCTATTGATTCATAGATTTACAGTCTCGGACGCTTGATTGAAATCAAACAACTCAATCAAGACAAAGCGGTAATGGCCAACAACTCTGAACAATCAATCAAGACCAAACATCTCTTACCAATTCTCAATGGAAAAAACCATCCTTCCTGGTATGGTCACATGAAAGTTCAGCTTTGTGGTAAAGATCTCTGGTTGGTTTGCATCACTTCCCCTGCCGACCCTTTAACCACGACACCAGTCACAGCAAACACCACGTCAAGCGATCGTGCAATCTCGATCATCGTTCCATGTCTCAGTCAACGCTGCTACAATGAATGCGTCAATAGCACCACCATTGACAGCGCTTTCCTACTCTGGAAGAAGATTGCGGATCAGTACGCCTCAAGAACAGTCATAAATCAAGGACGGGTGTATATGACCTGGTCTGCACTTATATATAAGGGCAATCTTCAAAATTATATTGACAATAACAGAGCCTGCTTGATCAACATTGATGCTGTCGGTATCAATGTACCAGTTAAAGTGATTGCCTATCTCATTCTTGGCAAACTGATGAACCACGACTTGGATCAGATTGTTGATAAACTGGCCTTGGATGAAAAAGTAATATCTGATCCCTATGCTGTGCTCAATGAACTTCAAACTTACCAAACTCATAAGTTCAGAAAAGATGAGAAGGGGACTGCTTTATACACCGCCGTTCCGACTTCTTCAAAATTGTTGACTACTTCAAAGTCAAAGTTTCCGACCAAAGTGCTTCACTTCTGTGGATTTGGAGAGCACAATCCCAAATATAATCACCCAGAAAATCACTGTCATGAAAAGTATCCGGAGCTCAAGACCAAATTCTCAAGATCAAGAAAGAACCCCAGTGCTAGTTTGGCCCATGCTGCTGAATTTGTTACTTACATCCTTCCTCAATCATCAAATTCTTTTATAATCAACTCCGCTGCTTCCCATCACATGATACCCGATTGATCACTGTTCACTTCCTTTGAGAAACAAAAATTCACCATCAATACCGGATATCCTTTGTCTCCTTTGATTGCTGAAGGTCACGGATCAGTCTCTCTCTTGATCAATGACAAAGAAGTAATCTTATCTGAGTGTCTTTTTGTCCCAAGAATTTCTCAGCAATTGATCTCTTTGGTCCGCATGATAAGCAACTCCATCACAATCAAGAAATCAGGAAGCAAGTTCACTATCTCTGATTCCTCTGGAGATCTATTCTCGGGTAACATTGTTGACAACCTACTCCATTCCTCATATTCCAATAAACCTTCCGCTCATTTCAGCAAGAAGGTCAATGATAATCATGAAATATGGCATCAACGTTTAGGACATCCCAGCAATTCAGTCATGAAGAAAATGAAGCTACCCGGTTCACCTGAATTGAAAACCTGTGAGGTGTGTGTCTGTTCCAAGATGAACCTTTCTCCTTTCACAAGTCATTTTCAACCTGTAAATTTTCCTCTTCAACATATTCATATGGACCTGGTCGGCCCAATCAAACAATCCTCAGTATCTGGTTTGAATTATTTTCTTTCAATTGTTGACCAATTTTCATCATTTGAATTCGTTCGTTTCTTGAAAGCTAAATCTGACACACTTGATGTATTGAAAATCTTTATCAAGGAGGTCAAAAACTCTCAAGATCGCCGTGTCAAAGAAATTGTCTCTGATAATGGAGGCGAATTTACCAGCAATCTCTTCAAGAATTTCACGGAAAGTCAAGGCATCAAACATGTTTTCTCACCGCCCAAAATTCCTGAACATAACAGATACGCAGAGCGAGCTAATCAAACGATCCTTGACAAAGCCCGTGCATTAATGTTGACAAGCAAATTGCCAAAGACTTACTGGGCAGAGGCTGTGAACACCTCGACCTTTGTCTCAAATCTCCTCTCAAGTCCTTCTCGCTCAAATTTCTCCCCGTATGAGCTGTGGACTAAATCTTCTGCACCTATTCACCGTGTCAGGAATTTTGGTTGTAAAAACTTCATTTGCGTACCTAAATCGCATTGGTCATGGAAACTTGGAAATACAGCTGAAGTAGGTCTTCTTGTTGGTTTTGAAAATAAAGCCACTGTTTTCAGGATTCTTCGCTTGAGTGACAAGAAAATAATTAGGACACGCCATGCCTTTTTTGATGAATCATCATTTCCCAAGTTCTCGGAAGATTTTGTACCGTCAACGGGTAAGGACCTAGACTTCTTTGAGGACTCCTTTGATGAGGACAGTGACAATGACAATCCTCCGGCAACAAAAGTCATTTCTCCTAATGAGAATCTCTCCTCTCCTCAAAACGCTTCTCTAGTCGCTCCGTCTACAAATCCCTCTTCCAAGCTCATTGTTGGTGACATCTCATTGTCAAATATACTCTTGAATAAGCGTGTCAGAAAACCAAGGGCCTTTCATACGACTGAAAGCTCCGACATCCCTGCTCACTACGATCACACAATTCATTGCGCGGAGGCAAAGTTCTGGGAGGTTGTGATAAAGAAGGAGCTTGATGTGATGGCCACCTTGAACGTGTGGTCTGGTCCCTTTGACGTTGGACATCAAAACGGTTGGCACCACCTGAGTCTTCAAGAAGAAGATGGGCAATGGAGACATTGTCTTTAAGGCCAGGCTATGTGCTCAGGGCTTCTCTCAAACTCACGGAATCAACTTCTCAAAAACCTCTGCTCCAACCAGTTGTCTCACCTCACTTTGTGCTCTTATCTCTTTTGCAGCTGCAAACGGCCTTGATTTTCAGCAACTCAATGTTAAAACCGCCTTTTTGAATGCGGAATTGAATGAAGACGTCTATCTCTCCATTCCTCAAGGTATAACACTTGACAAAAAGAAGGTTTGCCTCAAGTTGCATAAGGCAATTTATGGGCTTAAACAAGCTCCACTGGCCTGGTACAATTGCCTCTCTTCCTGGTTGTTGTCAGTTGGATTCTCTATTTCTGTTGCGGATCCATGTGTTTTCTATCGCCTGGGAGATAATCCTGTCTGGATTTTCATTCATGTGGATGACATAGCTGTGTTTGGCAAGGATATCTCGATCTTCAAATAGGAGATTAAATCGGAGTTTGACATTAAAGACATGGGCAAAGCTGACCTGTTGCTAGGAATCAAGGTGCTTCATGAGCCTACAGCCATAGTTCTCTCCCAACTTCACTATGTAAATTTGTTGCTTGCACTCTATGGCATGTCTGCCTTTTGACCTGTTGCTACTCCTTTTGTGCCAAATACTCAACTCGACCGAGCAACCATGGAAGAAGCCAATTGTTTCAACTCGCTTGGTGTGAACTATCGGAGCGCTGTGGGTGCCCTCAGCTACCTTAGCTCTGCTACCCAACCGGATATTGTGCATGCTGTCAGTTCATTATCACAGTTCCTTGAAGCCCCTGGAATAACTCATTGGGAAG